TTTTTATTGTTCAGCAATTTTCGGCAAGAAATGCTGAGCTCAAAGCTATGTAAAAGGATAAGGCATGGGTGCAAAAGATCTGTAATTAGGTCTAAAGAGATTGGAGCATTTTGGATCCTCTGAACTCACAAGTCTTAACCAGCCAAAGATCCCTGTCAGTATGAAGCCTGACGCGGAAGGCAGATGTTCTCAAGATAGGAAAAGGGAAAAGGGAGAGAGTCCAGGAAAAAGTGAGATGACGTAGTGTCAGTAGATTGCAGAAAGTGAGCCTTCATTTTTTAAAAAAACTGTCCAAAAACATCAGAGGAGGAAAATCTAGAGCCATTGGAAGTAATTCTGAATTTCACCACCTTCTAAAATTTTAGGAGACCTAATTTCATGTAAAACTGAGCAACAGAAAGGAACAAGTTAAACCATAACAGAAAAGTAGTGGGGTTAAATCCCATATGTACAAGTTGTTAGTAAAAGGAAAAAGAGAATGAGGAGCAAAAATGCCCTGAATCAGACAAAAACCAAAGTAATTATCAATATGTCAAAGTGAACTAAGAAACTATACAAATAAATACAACAGCTACTGTCTTAAGACAAATAGAGAAATGGAAGAATCTTGTAAAACACAAAATAATAAAAATTTAAAATGTGATTTGAGAGAAGTTTATTGGATTTAGAGGCTAAAGAAGGTCCAACACGTGTGTACGAGAAATCGCACACTTTTGAAAAGCAGCAGAGAACAGACTGAAAATTAAATCAATACAACCTTTCATCATAGTACATGAAAACTGATTCCAAAATAATTAGCACCGACACACATTCTAATAAAATTCCAGGTTTCTAAAGGAAAATAGTAGCTCTTTGACCAAAAAGCATGAAGATTTTTCAGACACTCAAGGAGGGAGAAATGAAAGTCTGGTATTTTATCATCAGCTGTCCTCATCATGATGAAGGTCCTAAATCACCAGTACACAGGAGCTCAGTTATTACTTTTCCCACAAGAATTTACTAGAGAACAACCTCCAGGCAACAAAAACTACTGGAAGACACCAACACAAGGCTCATAGTGATCACTGTGTGTATGAGCCTGAAGTTTCCACTGTGGATAGCGAGGAAGCCCACAAACGGTACTACGTCCATGTGATGAAAAGCTGAGACAGGCCCACCAGGCATCAAAAAGGAAAGTCAAGGGGCCAGCATTGCGACACAGCAGGCCAAACAGCTGCCTGGGACACCCGCATCTTGTTCAAGTCTCAGCTGTTCTACTTCCAATCCAGCCCCATACTAATGCATCTGGGAAAGCTACAAAAGATGGCCCAAGTGCTTGGGCCCCTGCCGCCCATGTGGGAGGCCTGAATGCTGTTCTGGTCTCCTGGCTTCTACCTGACCCAGGCTTGTCATTGTACTATTTGGTGAGTGAACTAGGGGATAGAAGGCCAGCCCCTCCCTCCCTCCCTCTCTCTCCTTCCCTTCCAAATAAGTAAAGATAAACACACAAATAAATACAAAGTAAATTCACTAGACTGAATTAAAACACACCTGACATCCTATGTGCATAAGGTCGTGAATTTAGAATCCAATATTTTATCCTACCTTTCCTATTCAAACAGTGCCACTGGATAACCCAGTAATAGAAGTATTCTAACTAATAAGTGAAGGAAAGTTTCCAATAAGATATCACTTCTCAACTCCACAGCTAAACATTCTAAAAGCAGACATTATTGCCTTCTGGTGGAAATAGAAAACACCATCTATGAAGTGGTATGATGGACAGACGAGGAGGGGGTGGGTGGGGTGGAGGAAGAGCCGAGGAAGCCTGTAGATTAAACTCAGAGTTCACAGGACCCAGAGCAAGGACGAGCCCTGTGAGCTGCATCGCAGGGATGCAGTCAGTAGAACCCCGCCCGGGAAACTCCATAGAGCCCATGTCCCGGTTTCACCAACAAATAAATGCCAAGAGAAAAGAGGAGAACGGAGAATAGTGGATTAAAAGACGTCTTTAAAACAGACAAAAGGACTGATACTGTTCAGGAATGCACCACGCGTGATAAAAACTATAAAGAAAAGGAGTGAAGTGCTTACCATCCCAGTGGTTTCTTTCAGGAAGGAGCAAGACAGACATACACATGTCAATGGCTGCTGGGGTTCCAAACGGCTACCCCTTGACCTGGGTAGTACATAGGTGGCTGTCACCCTGTGATTTATTAAGGTCTGTCTGAGTCTAGGTGATACTATAATAAAAAAAAAAAAAGTTTCTTTGAAGTGGAAGGACGAGAATGGGCGGGGATGAAAGGGAGGCAGCGCTGTGCCGTGGTACCCAGCTGGGGGAACACCTCGCTTCTTCAGCCAGCCAGCCTCGCTCCATTGTGCTTGTAGCCATGTCTGTGGGGAGGGGCAGACAGATCTGCTGACCAGTTTCCCTTGAAATTCAAAATCGCTTGCCTCCCAAGGGTATTGGTGGTACCTAGCGGTAGCACCCTGTCCTTCCTCCACCCCCTCTCCTTCTTCGTTCTTTCCCAACACTTCCTTTGCACGCCTCCCCTTGGGTCTGGACCATCAGCCGCAGCTCCTCTGTCCGAGGCTGGTGTCTCCCCTGGGATCCAAGGCCAGCCCCCCTCCTTTTCCTGCCTCCATGCTCCACGCACTGGTCCTTCCCTACAGCACACTGACCTGCTCTCACTCTGATTTCAGAATTATTTATGCTCCTGGAGACCCCCCCAGCTGCGACCCTGTGCCTCTGCCCCCGACACTCTGCCCCTCAGTCCCCTTGGTGGGCTTCTCCTTGGCTTCCCTTTGGAGTTGGAGTTGTCACATGCAGTCTCGCGGGCACTGACATGACAGAGTCAGATGGCCGCGTGAAGCTTACAGAGCAATGAGCTAACCAGTGCCAAGCTGTATGGAGAACTCGGAGTGCACAGGGGATCAGCGGGCACAGGCCAAACACGGGGAAGTCCCAGGTCCCCAGTGTGGCTCCTCATGCCCTCTCGTGGCACAGGAGGAGGGACAAGGCCTCTGAGAACTGCAGGGAGTCATCCCTGGTGGGATGTGTCTCAGTTGTGCAAGGAGGAGCTGCCTCTCATCCGTCCCTCACTTGATCCCCTATTACTGCACAGTCCCTGAGATTCCCCTGAGAGTCTCAGCCTGCGCAGTCACAGACTCGCCTTTGTTTGCCAGGGGGACCTCTGCTTGGCCAGAGGTGCATTAGCGTGTTGACCCAGGGAGCTCACCAGGTCATTTTCCTTGCTGGAAAAGTGAGAAAATTCAAAAGAGGCCCTCATGCTAATGACTGCAATTTGTGTCTGCAGCTTATATTTCTTTTTCTGTTCAGTTGGCTACTTGACATTTTGACGTAGCTGTGGAATAGGTTATCAAGCTGAAAGTGTGCGTGATAGAAACAGCCCCCTAGGTGCACCCACCACATTTTCCACCACTGTGACCTCCGTGCCCCTTGTGTGTCTGCTTGGGGAGACACACTCTGTTCACCCTGACTCCTCCTCCTCTTGCACACCATGCTTCCAGTCTGCCATTTCTACCTTCATGATAGACCCAGAAATCCATCACTGACCCAGCTCCCCCAACACAGTGCTGGTTCAGGCCCCCACTGCCTCTCAGACTGATGGGTCGAGTGAGCACCCACTTGCACCCCTATCCTCCAGTGCCTGCCTCTCTGTCCCTCCTCTGCCTGGAGCTGTCCAGGGTCCCTAGTGTCTGAGTGACAGCCAGCTGGGAGCTATGGTGGACAAGGACAGAGCTTCTATCCTCTGCTGCATCCATGGCACCTGTACTAGTGTCTGCAGTGCAGGCATTGCCCCACAAAGGAATTACTCACTGAGCAAGCCATCGAACCTAATCCGAGTAGAGGAGAACGTGCCCCATGGTGTCAGGGGAGTAGTAACCCAGACGTGCAGTAGAGAGGGACCATGGCACATGGCTTCTGTCCACAGGTGGGGAAACCATGGAAGGGAACAAGGGAACATGGTCGCCTTTAAGTAGACAGGAGTAACTGTGATGGCATTGAGGGAGATGGTGGGGATGGTGTGGCGGTGCGCTTGGTGGAGGCTGCGTGGTGCTGAGGCAGCAGCCGGCCAGCCTTCTCCCTTGAAATGAAGTCGGAGTAGAGGGCGCTTTAAGGATGAAAGGAAATTTTTTTTAGTGTCATTCCCCTCATCTTCAAGCTGAATGGGCTCATTGACACGGCATGGGTGCCAACGGTTTTCTGTGAAGTGGAAAGTTGAACCTGTTTCCCAATTGATTGTAAAACCTCACAGGATCTCCAAGAGGCACAAAATATACCGCTGTTTATAACACTGATAAGGAGGTATTGCGAGTGTCTATTGTTTCGTGGATGGATAGGTTCCTTATAATGAACATGAACTAAGGTTGCTTAATCCACTACTGTAGAATGTCGAGGAGCCGGCACAGGGGCTCGACAAGCTGAGCTGCTGCCCTCAGGGAATGCTGGCCCCCGCTCTAGCCTCAGCTGCTCCACTTCCCATCCAGCTCCCTGCTAATGCGCCTGGGGAGCAGCAAAAGATGCCCAAGTGCTTGGGCCCCTGCCATCCCTCTGGGAGACCTGGATAGAATTCCTGGCTCCTGGCTGCAGCCTGGCCCATCCCCAGCTGTTTCAGCCATTGGGATAGTGAACCACAGCCATTTCTCTCTCTCTCTCTCTCTCTCTCTCTCTCTGTGGGTGTGGGTATGGGTGTGTGTGTCTGTCTGTCGCTCTGCCTTTCAAATCGTTTTCTAAAAAAATAATTATGAACTTTGGAAACCCCACCCTCTGAAGACAAAGCTGCAAGTGAAGCCACACTTCTGTGTTACACCCGTTTGAATGGGGAAGACTTCTCCTACTAGGCCATGTCTCGCCCACCTCCATCCCTCCTCCCATGCCCACTTTGCACTGAATCCGGTTTTGCAGGAAACCCACACACTCTCCCCCGCCAACCTCGAAGCTGAAACAGCACGCCCTCGTCTGCGCTCCCCTTCAAGGTCTCCCCTTCTCCTTGCAGTACGGCCGGTACCAGCAGTATGGAGCGGAGGAGTGTGTCCTGCAGATGGGCGGCGTGCTGTGCCCCAGCCCCAGGTGTGGAGCAGGGCTGCTGCCCGAGCCAGGCCAGAGGAGAGTCACCTGCGAGGGAGGCGGCGGTCTGGGCTGCGGGGTGAGTAGTGCCCGCACCCCTGGGTGCTGGCTTTTGCCAATTCCTTGAATTTGCAAATGGTCTAGGATTATACCTTATTTTCCTTTTCCCATCAGATTCATATCTTTGAACTGATATATAAGGAAATAGTTTTTAAAATTCTGAGCTAGGACCCTGGATTAAAAAAATTGCGATGTATTGATTTTGAGAAAAAAGAGCCATATTAAGGTTTTCGGCTTTAATTGCTTATGAAAATGTTTAAGACGTGCATTGCTATACCAGACTTCTAAACTTTTCTCCCAGTGTTCAGCCGACTCAGGAAAAACGTATCCATACCTCACAGATGCCTGTAGGTAGACAGGAGCGAGGGAGACAGAATTCATCAGTGATGTGTTAGTGACAGTTTGCCCAAGTATTTCAAGAAATGAAACGGATATTTGTATGGAAAACCTGAAACGTTATCGGGTCATAAAATCATTCTCAATAGCAATGAGCCAAACAGAAGTGCCTGTTAGGGCACAGAGTAAGAAACACGGAAAATGTTTGTTCTGAGAGGTCAAAATCAACAGACCTGGATGGCTTCTGAGATGAAACGGTGGCCGCAGGCTGGTGGGGGTGGGGAGGGCAGCATAACTCACACACAAAGAGGCGTGCTGAGCTATAGGTCGGAATACCAAATGCGGAGCGATCCCAATATTAACTTCCCTGCAGGCCAGAAAAGGAAGACAGTGTGTGTGTTTAGAAAGTGCTGTTGCCTCCTGAAGAGGAATGTTTCTTTTAAAATTGCAGCTTCAAGGGGAGCTCTGTGCAAGGACAGGCACTGGATAGCAGAGGCGCCCCCGGGCCTCATTTTGCCTGAGCGCCCGACGTCACCTTGGCATCAGCTGCCCGTACTTAGCAAGGCCTCCTATCCGCCAGGCGGTGCAGCTCTCAAAACCCAGGGCTGAGCCACAGACGGGAGGCCATGGACGTCAGAAAACAATGAGATGCCAGTGTGCCGAAAGGGAAGGCAATGCCTCTGGATTAATAACTGTGATTGTATTAGGGTGAAAGCCCAACCATGTTTGCCACCCTCAGGAATTATGGAAATGGAGCCACACTCTCGGGTCTTAGTCACCAGCGTTGGCTGTGTAATCTGCGCTGATTGTGTGTGGCCGAGCAGGCCGCCAGCTGCTGGGATGAGAATGCCAGGGAGTGGCTCCTTTCAAATTAGTTCCGGTCGTTTCTACCGAATGGCAAAGCCGTGTGCCCACTGCCTGCTGGTCGCCTCCCACTGCCCTGTGTCTGAAGCCAGGTTTTAAGATTTTCACGTCTTCCCGAGGTCGGGAGTTTTTTGGCCCGTTTTCTGTGTTCCGTGTCCACCTTGCTTTAGGGTTTTCTGCAGCTTTAGGTTTGGACATCTTGGTCTTCCATTTTTTTTTTAACTGTTGTAAGTAAGGTATGCATTTAAGTTCACAATCGTTTAGCAATGCATTGATTCGCTTCCGTGTCTTCGGGTTGAGAGTTGGGGGACCTCACCTGAAGCCAGAGAGCCATGTTCATGCTGTTGGACATTCAAGGCTGCTGCATTTTGGTTTTGTTCCAACCTTTTTCTGCTCTGTTGTTGGGGGAGGTGACTTGCTGGTTTGTGTACTCAATGTCTTGTGTCACATGACAAAAATTCCCTAATTTCAAGATTTTCCTAAACATTTAGCATCTCCAAGGGTCTCTGAGAGTCAAAAATCCCCACAAGTGGCCCCAGGTCTGTCCTGAAGTCATAGTCCGGCCCTGTGGTTCAGGGCACCCCGGCACACTCTTCCGTGAGGAACCCTGGAGACCGGTCCAGGTCTGGTCTCTGCACCAGGAGTGCTTGTCCTGAAGAAGTTGTCTTTAGGGCGCTGGGAACCCTTAAGAGCGGTGACGAGGTCCCCTCCGAAAGCTGAGTGCTGGGAAGCCTGCAGCTGCCTCGGCGGGCGGCTTGGTGGGCTGTCCGTGCAGTGAATCCTGAAGTTCACTGCTGGCCTTCCTCCTGGTTTTCCTTCGCCTGTTCCGACTGCGTCTGCTTCCCTGTGGTGTGCGCGTCCTTGAGGCAAGCTTCCCACTTGCCTAGAATCACGGGGGGCGGTGGAAAGCCATTGTGTGAAAGAAATCACAGTGAGATAGGGTTTGTTCTTTACAGCAGCGCAGAGCCCAGGGCACAGCAGCTAGAAGACAACGAATCTCTCCCTCTTTGCTCTGACACCAGGGGCAGCCAGGGACGAAACGGGCTGCCTTGGGGTATGGGCATGGGGACCGCCTCTTCCCGTGCAGGTCGCTGGTGGCGCACTGTGGAAGAACGAGGTAGTCTGTAGCCCTAGATGTCTTTAACCACGGTAGTAGTTCCTGGGCTATGGTTTACAGGTTTCTTAGCTGTTTGTGCACCTACCTGTGCTGATTCTTTTTTTCTTGACTGTCAACAGACACAAAGTACAATGCTTACTATGTGGTTATGTGGGGAATGTCTGATGTTATTAGAAGGATCTTACAGTGCACAAAGGTCGAACGCCAAATTCCCCGCCGTCCGTGCAATGTAATAATTAAGTCTCAGGACCCCTTGTGAACAGCCCGTAGCCACAGGTTTGCAGAGCTGAGACACACCCTGTGTCAGACTCCAAGCTTGAGAGGGTTCCCACCCCTGGTCATTCGACCACCGTGTGCCTAGGTGGCCCCCAGCCATCCGTGACTGCCGCCGCCTGTGGTTTCCACCTGAACACGCAGACTTCAACATTTCACTGGCCTCGGGCCTCTTTCAGGCTGCCTTGTGCAAACCTATAGTAATGTCCTCTGGACATCAGTGCCCGCCCCAGCACCAGGCCCACCTGTCCCTCAGTAGCAATGTACATTGGCTAATAAACCAAGAGAAGGATTTCCATTTAAATTATAATGTCAGCCAATCCAGGAAAGACTTGACAGATGTATGGTGGCTACCACAAATGTACTGCCATTATAAAGAAGTATTTGGACAAATTCCCAGGATTCGAGTTGAAATGTTGCCACTGGTTCGTGCCTACATATTCCTGCCCTAAGATTTGCTGTGCTTGCCCTCAGTAACAAATGTTTTTTAGATTCAGCATTCATTAAATGAATAAAAAAAATGGTTCTTTCTTAAAAATGTAGAAATAATATAAATAAACTACCACATTTATTTTCCTGTGTTAACTGCAATTTACCATAGTGTTAGAATTGCTTTGCCGGCCTCAGCAGATACCTCTTCAAGGCATCTAAGTGTTTAAGCTCATTCACATTTTTGTATAATGCACAGGTGGTTTACCGGCACACATGGTACCTAATTCAGAACCCTAAAATAATATGTTCAAAGACCACACAAAATCAATCAGGAACCCAAAGTTAGTAGAAAAACCAGTTTACATGCCCTGTCAAAGGCTACATACGCGTCAGAGTAGAGAGTTTTGTACATTCTGATGTATCAAATGTCTTACCCTTAGAAGCACTGAGATTTCAGTTTTCTCTCAACACACAATATTTTTACATTGACAGAACTCAACAAAGATTGTACTGGGGATCCACTCGTCGGACCTCACCCTCCGCTAGCCCTTCATATCTTTCCTAATGCTCACAAAAGCATTCACTGTCTTCCTGAGAAATTCACAGTCTGCATTATCCTTTTGTCTGCCATTGTTGTTATTCATCTGAACTGTCTCACTTTTATGATCAGTGCAAAATGTTGATATGTTTAATACTGGAAAACAGCAATAAGATATGCACCATGTTATACTCACTGACCTGGGAGTGAATGCAGAAAGCGATGGCAATCGAATCTTGGGAGTTCTCCATAAATAAAGCATCTCCAGCCTCTTTGGTGTTGTCTTAGAAAATAATAATAATAATAATAATAATTTCTTAAAATTATACGTGAAGTTGGATAAAGAGTTTTCTGTTTTAAATTAGAAATCCAGGGACAAGAATTAACAACAACTGCAAACAAGCCAAAATAAAAAAAAAGCCCAAATGAAAACAGGAGACCTTCAGAAATCATAGCACTGACCGTAAGTGAAGAAAATGATATGACTTTTCTTGGGACCTGGAAAAGCCATTCCCTCCATGAACGAAGCATCCGCTGCCCAGCGGCAGGTGTGTTGGGACGTCACGGGTGCTCCTCACGTGCAGAGCCGCCTTCCAATCCTTCCTAAGTTTGCCCTCTTGCACCGTTTTCCTTCAAGAGAGTCTCAAAAACCTGTGGCATGTTTTAAAGGCCCACGAAGCTTAGATCTGGTGTGGTGTAAGACCAACCTTGTGCAGACAAAGTTGTGCATGTGTGTATGTTTTTGTGGGAAGTAATAATTGTGGTAATTGCATTAACATGTCATTGAAGGTTTTGTGAAATGAGAGTCAGCCTCATTTTCACCTCTGCATAGAGAAGGAATTGATGAAAATGACAGTGACTGATCTTTCACACAAAGAGGTAACTAGTTGGTGAGTTACAAACCTAAATGGACCAATAGATGTAGAGTCCTTTTTTCATTGTGGGGAGCTCAGAAAGAGACCACAAGCCAAGAGTCAATAATAAGAGGGGAAATGAAAATGGTTCATTTTTCCTATTCTTTAAAGAGATGCTAGCTTATTTTTTATAAAAATGCATAATTTAATTAGATTTTGCCAAAACATTCTGAAAACTATATTGGGTCCTTTCTCTTTTTGCCTGTGGTTTATGCCGTGATGTTTTCAAGGAGACTGAGACGGACAGGTGATTTCGTGGGAACTAATCGTGGGGGTGTGAGCATTAAGCTCCATGCTGTACGCAGACCTGGCTCACCTCGGTGCCTGGATGCTCCAGCACCAAACAATGGAGTCGTATATTTTTCATCTTTATTTTTTTTAAGGCAGAAAAAGAGTCAGAGATCCCATCACTGATTGATTCCCTGAGTGTGCACCAGGAAACTCAGTTCCAGTCTCCCACATGGATGGCAGAGACCCAACTCTATTAGCAGGAGGCCAGCATCAGGAAAAAGCAGGGCCTTAAATCCAGGCATTCAGGGGCTGGC